AAAAAACCCCCCTGCTTTTCCGTAATTTGGGGAAGGGCTCCGGAAACCTTGTCAACTAACCCGCCTCTTGGGGTCCCCCCCCCTTGCAGGGAAGGGCTCCCCCAGGGCTCTGGAGCTCAGCCCCGCTTCTCTCTGCCCTCTGTCTCAGGCCCAGCCACACCGGCCGGGTCTACGGCTACAACCCCAACCCGCCCATGCCCGAAGGGGCCCGGCGGCCCCCCAGCAAGACCACCTTGCACCAGAGCCGCAGGCACTCCGAGGGGCAGAATCCTGACGTGAGTGTTGAAGGGGGGGGGGCTTCTCCTGCAAGCCTCGACTCTTGCCGGAACAACATTTGAGGAGGGGGACCCAGCTCGGCCACTCAAAGGGGGGTGGTGGTTCCTAAGTAGCTCAGAGTCTCCCTATCTGGAGTCTCTAAAAATCAGCATTTGGGGGCCCTTTTATTCCTGATTCGTTCGTGGGGGAGCTTCCCCCTTCGACCCTCTTTGAGTTTTTCTACTTTTGTGGAGAAGGAGATCTCCACGAAGGACGATCGATCCATTAGAACAGAGCTGGAAGGGACCCTGGAGGTCTTCTAGTCCAGCCCCCTGCTCAGAATACAGAATAAGAGAGCTGAAAGGGACCTTGGAGGTCTTCCGGTCCAGAGGCCGCTTTCTCCCTCCCCCGTGGAAGGGAGACCACTGGGAAGGCCTCTTTTTTTCCCTCGGCAGGACGTGCTGATGCTCTCCAGCAGCACCGACAGCGACGGCGACAACGTCCGGCTGACCCCGGTGCCCGTCCAGGTCAACCCCAACGACAGCGACGACATCCAGACCATCTCCTCCGGCTCGGAGGAAGAAGGGGCCGCCCACGAGGAGAAGAAGAGCGTGCCTTCCCGGCTGGGTGAGATAGACTGCTCCTGGCTGTGGAGGTTCCCTTTAGGCTAGCACAAGTTCCGAGGCAGATGGCCGAGCAGTTTGGGTGGCGTGATGAGAGCACTTTTTCCAGCGCTCTTTATAGCTTCGAAACGGTCACTCTGTCGGGTGCCGCTGGACCCCGACTTCCCGCAGCCGCCTCTGGTTGAGAACAGAGACTAGCCGGGTTGGAAGGGGGTCCCCTGGAGGTCATCTAGCCCGACCCGCTGCTGGAGCAGGAGGCTTTCACGGGACACACACACACACACACACACACCCTCGCTTCTCTTGCAGGGCAGGTAAAGAGGCAGGTGGCGGTGAAATCCACCCGGGGCTTCGCCTTGAAATCCACGCACGGCATCGCCATCAAGTCCACCAACTTGGCCTCCGGGGAGGGCGCGGCCCTCCGCAGGAACACGCGCCAGTTCTACGACGGGGAGGAGTCCTGCTACATCATCGACGCCAAGCTGGAGGGCAACTTGGGCCGCTACCTCAACGTGAGAGAGACAGACCCGGGGGTGCCCCTTCCCTGGGCTTGGCCTGGATTGGCTGGCCCTCCTGGTTCATCCCTGGGAGACTGCCCCCTCTCCAGCGATTCCTGGCCAAGATTTTTGACCCTTTTCCTTCCCGTCTGTCTCCCCCAGCATAGCTGCAGCCCCAACCTCTTCGTCCAGAACGTCTTCGTGGACACGCACGACCTCCGCTTTCCCTGGGTGGCCTTCTTCGCCAGCAAGTAAGCGAGTTCCCCCCCACACACACACACACCCCAAAAAAGTGGGGTTCCCCTCCTTTCCAGGTGGGCGCTTAAGAAGCTTGTCCAAAGGCTGTTTCCCCCCCCCCAGGAAATCCCCCAAACTCTTTTAAAAAACCAGCACTTCTGAGCCTTCCACAGGGGGGAAAAAAACTCAGCTGCGCGCTGATTTTCTCGTTTTTTTCTACCAAGCGCTTGTAATAAATTCCCTGCTGGCTGGGAGGGATGGCTGCAGAGGAAAAAAGGCAGGGGAGGGAGGAGGGAAAAAAAAACACCAACCCTCCGAAGCATCAAATTCTGGCATGAAATGTGGGCCACCTTTAACAACTCCATGGCTTAAGCAGGGTGGAAGTCTTCTTTCTCCAGGCACTCCTGCACCCATTTCACAGACCGGAGAACGGAGGCCCCGTTTTTGGAAGACCTGCGATCCCAACGGCCGCCTTCAGAAAACCCCAGACCCTCTTTTCCCGCGGTCCCTTTTCAGTCTCCTCTTTGCTCAATCTTGGCTTTTACGGGCCCAAAGTTTTAAAAAAAACCACGACGAAAAACATGGCTTTAAAAACATAATAATCTGCCGGTTTCTCCTTGTAGGAGAATCCGGGCTGGGACGGAGCTCACCTGGGATTACAACTACGAAGTAGGAAGTGTCGAAGGCAAAAAACTCTTGTGTTGTTGTGGTGCCATCGAATGCCGAGGCCGCTTGTTGTAAAAAGTTTTGTTTTCTTCCCCACGGGGGGGCGGGAAAGAGACCTCTCTTTTCCAAAAATCTCCCCTCCCACTGGTGAAAGTGGGACTTGCCCTGCCGGCACTCTCCCCCCCCCGTGTCTTTCCGTGGTTCACGTCTCTTCACCCCACGTGTGGGTCCCATTGAGCACGGCCGGGGGGGGGGAGCTCCCCGTGTTGACCTCTGTTTAAAGGAGTTTTTTTTTTCTCCCCACCACCCAGTTGGATGTTGTAAAGCAATAAAGCAAATCCAGTCTTTATTAAAATAACACGTTTTTCAATAATTCCACCGCATATATATATAGTCCTCGAGTTACGACGGTTCATTTAGTGACTGTTCAGAGTTACCACGGTACTGAAAAAAGGGACTTGCGACCGCTTGGCCTACTTAACGATCGTCGCAGCCTCTACATGATCAAAATTCGGACGCTCGGCAACCGACTCGTGTTTACGACGGTCGCAGTGTCCTGGGGTCACATGATCCCCTTTTGCGGCCTCCTCACAAGCCAAGTGCCCACGGGGAAGCCGGATTCGCTTAACAGCCGTGTTTACTAACTTAACAACCTCAAGAGGTTCACTTCCCAGTTGTGGCAAGAAAAGGTGTAAAAGTTACGCAACTCAGCTCACCAATGTTTCACTTAGCAACGGAGGTTTTTGGAGAATTTACTCGGAAAACTTTGGGCGATACCAAGAGAGGGAGGGGAGGGCAAAATTAAAGGAGAATATTTGTAGCTCGGGGGTTGAAATGAGGGGTCCTTGGTGCTCTCTGAGCTGGGTGGTTTTCTTGCAGACGTTTCATGACCAAACTAGGTAATAGCATCAGTGCTTGACTGGGGTAAAAAAAAAAAATACAATAAATGAAGTAATTGGGGAGCTTTTCTTGCAGGTGCAAAAGTGGAGGCGGTTCAAAGTTGCTTTGAATTGACCCGATTTTACAACAGCTTGTGAAATTTAAGGGGGGGACGTCTTTGACCACGTTATGTGGTCTATCTTTGTCAACAACAAACCAGCATCAAATAAGCTGATGCTGTGCATGGTCTTCTAGCAAACGCCCTAAACATTTTCCAAAGCAGAGTCCTTGATAAACCACACTATGTTGTGTTCTTCCACCTTGTTGCCTTTTTAAAATTATTTTCCAAAACAAGCACAGAAGTATTATCCCTAGAGCCTTAGAAGGCAAAACACATTTAAGAGAGAAAAAAACGGGGCAGGAAAAAAAACACCTTGAAGCCGAGGGAAAAACAATCACTTGATCCCGAGACAGGTTGGCATATAAATTTAATTCACAAATAAAAGAATAATAATCCCACTTATTTTTCAACCTCCTCCAGGAATAACAATATAAACGTCAAGGTTATTATTATTTTTTTTAAAGAAGTTTATTAGTTTAATTGAAGTTTTAATATAATTAAACTTTCTTTTTTTAAAAAAAAAACAAACATATTTTGGTCTGAAGATAACGAGTTGTCCTTTCGTGTCCCTCCCCCACCCCAAATTAACCCTCACCCACCCATCCCCCAAAAAATACTGCCATTTCAGCTGGTCGGCTGGGCCAGAATCCCCTTCATCCATTCTGAGACCAGCCTGAAATCCACGCCGTCATTTCCTTTCGCGTTTTCCCACTGGGCTATAGTTGAAAAGCCTACCTAATAAATTAAACATTAATTAAGATCTCCGGAGTTCATGGTACCTTTTTGCTTTGAAAAGTCAGGATGGGAAAAAAGAAGGGAAAGGGGGGGAGGGAGGTGGGACTGACATCCCCGGAGGACCGACAGAGGGGACATGGTGGGCGCAGGAAGAAAAAATAGCATTTTGCAGAAACAAAATAAAACCTCGACTGGCTTTTAACACCCAAGGCTGTGGCTGACCTATTGAATTTAGCCAACCCCCCCCCTCCCTCAAAAAAGGCGTACCTGCTCTCCACCTTTCTATCCAGCTCTTCCAACCCACCCCTTCCCCACATTTAAGGCAGTGGCTTCTCCAGCACTTCTGCTCTTGGCAACTACAAAAACCATGTGCAAGAGTGATCTTGGGGACAGGGACTGACCCCAACTTTAGGTTTGGTGTGGCTGACAAAGCTAGATTCTCTCCCACCCACCCACCCGCCCTTAACCTCCCCCCCCCAAAGAGGGGGAAACATGGCTTATAGGATATAAAGCGAAAGACGTTGGCAGAGAAGGAAAATTAAGGCAGGGAAGGGGTTTTTTCTTCTTCTTGCCCCACGTGTGCAAGACCAAAACATGAATTCCTATTTCGGCTGGAAACACCAAACCCACCTCCCCAAATTTTGCAGCATCCAAGGGACAGAAAAAATCGAAACAGGACAAGGTGCACAAGGGCAGAAAAAGCAGCCGAGGGCCCATTTTCCCACCCACCCCCCTCAAAAAAATATCCAGGCTCCTCGTGAGAAACCAGACGGGCCCAGCAGAGATTCCCAGCCGATGTTGCTTCGCTCCAGGAAAGCCAAAAAAATAAAAATAAAAAACCCCCCTTTTTCTGACCCACTGGCCTTTTGGCACAGGGCATAATTCTCCATGAGGACTGGCAACTTCGATGAACTTTCCACTTGATCTTGATGGGTGCACATCTGGCAGCTGCGGGGCACCACCGTGATGGGGAGAGAGGCCTTTTTTCCCCTCCCTCCCTGCCCTTCTTTAGGGGTTCGTTTGCATTTGGGGGTTCAGGAAGTGGGGAGGAAAAAAGGGGGGAAATAAGAGGGAAGGACCGACGTTCATCTTGGCTTCCCCGATGTGATTTTTAAGGCAGTTTGGTGAAGTTTGGGGGAGCAAACAGGAGGAGGAAGAGGGGGGATCTCGCAGGGGACACCTTCCGAGGGGAAAAGATTCCTTCTGAATCAGATTAGCAGGCGGTGGGAGCACGGCCTCCCCCCGAAAGTGACAGGAAAAAATGGGGCGAATCGTCCCGGATCATATCGTGGGCCGAGGACCCTCGTGCCGGAATTTAAGCCGTCTTTCCTCCAATTTTTGGCTTGGCCACGAAACGAAAACACCCTCCAGTCTCGGGTGACGCGTCGCGCAACGGACTCGGGATGAGCTGGGGCCAGAGAGAGAGGGGGGCCGCGGGAAAAAAACGTAGCCGTCGGGGAATTATTCTACTTTCTGGTGGTTATTGTTCAAGACGGGGTGCCCGTTGGCGAGAGGGCCGTTTTTGGTTCCCGCGCTGGGCCCGGCGTCCGCAGCAACAGCCTTTTCTTCTTCCTCTACGGAGTAATCTGTTTCGTCCCGGTCGCTTCGCTCGTCCTCCACTGTCTGCGGGGAGAAGCGAAGAGAAAGACAAGAGTCTTTGATGCCATTTTAAAAACCGGTGTTGGGAATGGAGGACCAGCCTACACCCCCCTCAAGAAATAGCACATGTCTGCCTCCCGTTTCAGCCTCTCGTGAGGCTTTTCATAACGTTGGATAGTCACCAAAGATGCTTTCTGATTTGGGGCCACCGTAGAGGGCACCCCGCTCTCCTCAAAAGCTGAGGTGGCCCCAGGCATTTTCTGCTGGTTTTTTAAATTTTAAATAGAGTTCAAAGCTCTTATAAAACCAGGAGAACCCAAGGTGATCAATTTAAGCTTGCCAACAAGCTTAACAACGAGCTCTTAAGACAGTTGCCAGTTCCTTTTTTTGCACCAAAGTCCTGTCCTTCCATGTGGTGGTTTTTTTGGGGGGTGGGGTGGGAAATCCCTTTCCAAATTTTGCCCAAAGTTTCCCCTCTTTCCGCCCCCAATCTTTCCAGAACCTTCCTTCTTACCTTTCCAGTTATGAATTTCTGAGCCATGCGAATGATAAGGTAGGCCCAAAATACGTGGAGGCATTGGAGGATCACCATCATGCCGTTGAAGAAGTAATAGCCGAAAAAGGGAGGATACACCTTTAAAGGGATGATCATGGTGCAGTGCAGAATCCTTGGGGGAGGAACCAGAGAAAGGATGAATTATTTTAAATGTTCATGTTTTAAAGCGTCTTCCCTTTCTTTAATCTCTGCAAAGAGTTTTAACGAGGAAAACTCTCCCAACGTCTGCAAAGGCAACCTTTGATAAAGGCCACCCCAGTTTCAGAGGGAGAATTAAAAAAAAATTAAAAGTAGGATGAGGTTCACATGTAACTCAATGCCCAAACTGGGTTTGTTTGTTTGTGGCTTAAGGTAGTTTGTAATCAGTACAGCCCGTGGCGTATGGCTTAGCTTTACCTCTGTAATTTTTAATAAGACTTTAATTAAAATTTAAAGAAAAAAAAAAGCGGCACCATACTATTTACTAACCTAACCTAACAGATGAAATATTTCCAACCGGGATAAAACACATTTATAGAGAAACTGCATTCCAAAATGGATCGTATATTTTGCCAAGAATAAAAGACCCTATATTCCATTTTCTATCTATCATTTTAACGTCAACGGCTTATCTGTGAATTCGTAAAGTTTTCCTTTATTTTTTAATCGGTGCCATTTCGTCTCTCCACCCCCCCCACCCCACCCCGAAGAATCCCATGAAAACCTCACCAGAAAGGAAGGATGATCAAGCGGGTGATGATGAAGATGACCGCAAACACGATGAAGATACTGTTGCAGGTGTTCTTCCAGCCGGCGTAGTTGAACATCTTGGCTGACTGCAAAGCACGAAAAGATAGGGAATATGGACACGTGGCCGCCTTTACTTTCTTTTAGGCTTTACTTCCTTTACTTACTTTCTTGTAAACAAAGAGATATAAGGTGGTTCCATCCAAAATGGGAAGGAGAGAAGGAAGGGAGGGAGGGAGGGAGGAAGGAAAGAAGGAAATGGACAGAAGGAGTGAGGAAGGGAAGAAGATAAAGGGAGGGAAGGAAAGAAGGAAGGAAGGAAGGAAGGAAGGAAGGAAGGAAGGAAGGAGTGAGGGAAGAAGATGAAAGGGAAGGAGGAAAGGAAGGAAGAAAGATAAGGAAGGAAAGAAGGAAGGAAGGAGGGAAGAAGATGAAGGAGGGAAGGAAGGAAGATGAGGAAGGAAGGAAGGAAGGAGGGAGTGAGGGAAGATGAAAGAGGGAAGGAAGGAAGGAAAGAAGGAAAGAAGGAAGGAAGAGGAGGGAAGAAGATGAAGGAGGGAAGGAAGGAAGGAAGATGAAGGAAGGAAGAAGGAAGGAAGGAGGGAGTGAGGGAAGATGAAAGGGAGGGAAGGAAGGAAGGAAAATA